CGCTGCACAATTTTCAATAACATGACGCTTCCACACATCTTAGTAATAATACATTTTCATAAGCACAGGGGTGGATTGTGAGGTCGGGAAGAGTTAGGTATCCGCCCCCGCCCCTCCCCCCATTTCTGTCATTTTTCTTGGTCAAATTTCAGGTGACTATCTTACTTGTATTACAGTCAAAATTGCTAAAGGATCCACAACTCGTTTGTAGGACAAATCCAAAATAGATAAATGCAGATCGAAAAACACACTATTTATGAATAACAATTAACACACTATTTATGGATAACAATTACATAAATAGTGTGTTATTCGGTTATGTTCCAATTACTAAATGCCATTCAAAGAAGATAAATGCAGAAGTAGAAAAAAAGTAGCCCCTCCCCCATTTCGTGGGAAGAAACTGTATTTACTGTTCATTCGAAGCTTAGAGATAAATGGGGTTTAATGTCCACTCGACAAAAACTACGTTATTTCGGGACTAACATGGCAGTTGGAGGAAACCGGAGAATACCCATAAGGTTGAACAGACCACTTACTCCTTGTCACGTACAAGCGGGGAATCGAAACCGCGCGACCTGACTAAATGACATATCTTATTATCTAACGCGCATGGTTTAAACCGCCCATCTCCTCTTTAAACTTACCCATATCCGATCCATCCTGAATGTGAAAGCCAGTCTTGTAGCCAAATGTTTTGCAGTCGGCTTAATTATCTTTTCTTGTCAAATTGCAAAGAAAAGCTAACTGCCTAACTGCGTTGCAATTCTCTTTGAAAAAAAATGATTAGCAGTGTGTTAGTAAATGTCTCCCGAATAGAGGTATCGGGCCTATGTGATCTACGGGTCTACAATCATCTGCGGTCGTCTGAGGATAAATGAGGTCAAAGTACATGTATATCAAACATTTATAATTATTAATAATTTGCGATTATATTCTACATTTGCATGACATGAATAGTATATTTTAAATATGTTTGGGTGATTAATAAACAGGGACCTTTCGTTTCCTATACCTGGATTAGAGAATAAGTAAAGCGGAAAAAACTTTGTCTTGAAGATTGATTTGCTCCAAAAATCTTAGATGATAAACTGGATGAAGACACTTTCCTGTTGTTGGTTTCGTGGAAATGTCACCATATAACACAAAAAAGTTTGCAGCCTAATTGTACCTTTCCGCTATATGTACATTAGTAAATTCCAACATTTTTCGAGGGTAGTGGTAGGTCGTTGCCCCACCGCCACCCGTGCCACCCGCGCCACCCGCGCCACCACTACCACCTTCCCGCTGTCAACGCCCATCAGAAATATGATATAGACTTATTCGGTCGGTCTAAATTCCAAAAATATATAAAAATAACAGATATCTAATTATGGAAAGAGTAAAATCGTCAATAACAATTATCTTCAAATGTTTCATTAGATAAATCCATGTGCTGTACAGTAACTAATTTATTTTGTAACATCATGTATGTGATACATTAAGAAATTTTGATGCCCTGTGGTCTGTGGCTGCTTTTAACAAGATTATAAATATTTTATTAGAAAATTTATGTGACTCTGATTAAGTTGTTTGATCAGTGAATGGAGACGAAAACCTCTAACGTCAACTTCTTGTTCGGATGCTTCATTAGAATCAAAAGAAATGAAAAGGTATCCATTTGTCCATTGATATCAGCACACGTATTAGCTCTCGGTTGATATCCCGCAAACATTAACAAGAAGATGGTTTTGCTTCGTTAAGAGCCATTGAAAACGTTATTGTTAGATGGTTAAATGAAGCGGAAATGAAATAGTTATGACGTAATAAATGGACGTGAAGTAATAGCTTGTTAACGATTGGACAAAAACATCAAACGGTTTGTTGCGGTATTGTTATAGTGTTGAGTGATGGAGTTAAGTGAAGCGATGCTTGTAGATGGTGTAACGTGTTAATTGTTGGAAGATGTAATCTATATGACATCACACCATCCATTAATATACCTATCACCGTTCGTCTATATCATCATGCACATGGTACATTACAGATGAACTTCTAACTATGAAAGAAAGGCTATGTGTATACATTAATAATAAACTATACAGGAAGCAAACAAATATATATGAAATGAAATGAGGTTTAACGTTCTGCTTTTCTGCTCTCTCCTGGCGTAATGAAGACGAGGATACGCCATGCAGTGTGTTTTGGCGGATATTTATCCTGCACAGCTGTCAAGTGTTCTTTTACTTCGATATTTTGTCCCAAACACATACATTGTTATAGGTACACACAGATGGTTACCATAACATGAATGCTTGGTATACTAACTAAAGCTCCTGAGGGTTTTAATAGTTCCACAGTTTTGTTCAACATCTATATTTTATATTGTTAGGAATCGTTCAATTCATTGAAAGTTGGTTCTTGATAACATCAGTCGTCTAAAAAGTTCTTTTTTATTATTATTTATGCATTTAATGATTGTTTTTTGCAGGATGTAAGATAATGAATTTCATGCTCCACCTCCTGGCTTATATTACATAAGGATCTTTAACATCTACTTTGATATATCTTTCGTTTTCAATTCTTACTGCATGTGTGCGTCTGTTCTATGTTTTCCAGTATTTATTGTTTCTAAGTAATTTCTTATCACGTTTACATACAAGGAAGGTGGGGCTATAACAATTCCAGTGACTAGATTTGATATTGTCAGTGTTCAAATATTAATTTAAAAAAGGATATAATTATAACATGAACACCTTTTACCACTTCTCAGCTAGGAGAAATTCATACCCTATCTAATTAGAGGTGTCATGCACGAATGTCTTGTATGATTTATGTTTGTGGAGCATTGATACCACTTTTTCCTTGTCATATAGCTGTCGATGTCTATAGTGCTGCAAACTGTGACAAATAATGGATCGGTGTTCTCTTTAACGTGTGACGATAGTTGGTTTAAGTATAAGATGACACCAAAGATATTCGATTTCTGGTCTTTTGTACATCCTTCCTTTGATCTTTGCTGATAAAACATAAAAGAAGGTCAGACTTTAATCAAGTGAAAAAATTGTATTTGAATGACACACATCAATAGATGTTGATTTCTCTCCGCTTGTTATTCATGGTGCAATATTGGAAAAGGATGGTTAAATATTTTTCAATCCTTTATTGAGGTATTTGTTGAAAGTCGAATGGAAATGAGTGTGTGTCTTTTTTAACTTGATGCTTTCGACAGTCTATTAATTTTTTACGATTACATTGCAGGCGCGTTTCCAGAGGTTGGGTGGAGATGAGGGGATGGAGCCCCCCCCCCCCCCCCACACACACACATACACACACATTTGCTGGCATAGAGAATATCTATTCTCTCCTACATTCATGGAAATAACGCCGTTTTGACTCATATGCGTCTAAATGAGCAGAAATATTGTCTCAAAGCTTCCAAATTCATCAAATGCCAAACTTGACGTTGTCTCCACCTTGGACGCCCCCCCCCCCCGGTTGCACAAATTCCTGGACACGCCCCTGCATTGACATAAGGACTAATCAGTGGTGCAGAGTGGGGGGCTCAACAAGAAACACGTTTACGGGCATGTTTACGTGCATGTAAAATGTAAAACTCTTTGACTGCAATTAGAATTCGTAATAAAAGTAAGACGTAGCAGAACAATAGGATGTTAAACCCCATTTCATTTCCTTTTATAAACATCAAGAAACTTCGTTAATTGATTTTAAAAACACAATCTTTATAACGTCACTTTAATATACCCTCTTATTTGCTAGCTATAAAAGCACAACTGCTTAAACATGTTACATAAAATTAATTACAGGTCCACAAACTTGTAAAACAGGAAGAATAATTATGTTACAATATTTGATTGATTATTAAAGTTAACTGTACTGTACTGTCATCTAACATCTAGGTTATGAATGTTTAACGGGTGTGTTGCGTGCAGACAGAGGTCAACTACTTTAAATTTTTAAATATATTTAAATCCCTTTGATCGCAGCAAAAAGTACCCCCCCCCCTCGATCAAGAATTCGACATTGTAAATCAAGTTATCTGTGTTGCAATTGAAAAAAAACCACATCTAGTACAAATCTTAATAAAATACAAATTTATTTAATATTACAGATATTATCAAACTCTGCGCACATTACTGTTATGATTATGTGAAAAATATTGGTGTCATGCCATATAGCGTAGTCATAGGATTTGAACCAGGTTAAGAAATAATATGGTTAACTTTCATGTACTAACTTATCTACCAATAATCAGAACGATTCAATGGTCCATTTAGAACATTAATCAAAAATATTGAGGAAATATCGTTTGAAGTTTTCATTCCTCGAATTGGATTGTTATCAACAGTAGATTGACTTGTGATGCAATCTGTTGAAGTATATCGGCTTATAATATCGAATATATCGACGTGTTCCGTCTTCAAAGACTGGGATTATGGTATACTTACTCTGACGGGGACAATCAATTCCTAAGATTCAGCGACGTAGAGACGTTTCGGTTCTGTCAGTATATAGATTATAACATCTGAAGACGCGAATTAAGGGCAGACAGCAAGCTTATATGATTTGAGAGAGGAGGGGGCAGGTTTCTTTAGAAGTGAGGGGTACCAGGAGAAAACGAACGAAATGGAAGTTGCTTACATGTTCCTGCAATTTTCTAGCGTGTAATTAAGTTGTCGGCAGTGTCGTGTGGGGTATGCTGTTAACCACAATTGACGCTTACATGTACTTGAAATAACGATAATATGGACATCTTGATCTGATAACTTTTATTATATCTTACGTTGTCTGTGCTTTCTGTGTATATTTTGCTATTTTTCTGATTTTGTATCTGTTCTTGAGTGTGGTTTGGTCTTCCAATGCCTACTTTTAGGTAATTCGCCGTCTGAAAGATAATGGAAAACAAGACCGATGAGCCGTAACCTTCCTTGTTTCTGACATAACATTAATTATTTATGAATATTGAATTGGTTATTTGACTCTGGGTGTTGATTCCACATTCTGTCGACCTCCCTCCTGTGTACTAGGGTTATAGAGATCTGTTAGCCATCTCGTTGTTCGTCTTATTATCAATTAAACTATCAGCGCAGATGCTGATTGGCAGATTGATTGACAAGCGCCTTGAAGATCAAGTCTTTACATCACAAACAACTATTGACGGGGAGGATGACAGAGCGCGAGCAAGGCACGTGGAGTTGAATAGTATAGTAACAGGTAGTTGTTTGTGTAGTTCGTCATCACAACATGTGGTCTATTATTGTATCTATAATAATGGAGATAGTAAACAATACACTGGTAGCTGTAGGCTATGGAAATACTAGCAGATAGAAAAACATTTTCTACATTTTAAAACTTGTTGGATAAACACAATTACAGGTAAGAGAATCGAATTCTTCGTCTGCATTTATCTTTCATACGTACATGTAGCCGCCGAATAAGCCTTGTTTACTTGGTCAAAATTCCCATAATGTTTTAAAAATAATTTGCTTCAAATCATAATATATCTGATACTCACAAATAGCTTGTTTCAGCTACAGTTATCAAGCTAACTAGTCTGTGTATGCAGAGGAGTGTGGATGTTTCTGTTTATTTTTTAAGAATATAAGAAAAAACCCGAAATAAGAATGAAATATATTTGATCAGGGTGCTTATTTTCTTTAAGACTGTGATTTTCTAATCTATCAGGAATTCTTGGAATTGCATTTAATGCAATTTGATGATATTATGCTAAAATAATTATCAAGTCTCCCAAACTTGTTTTTCTGGTTGAGTAACATGATTATTTTCCACTAAACAGCGGGATTAGGGGTTGTCACATAACCTTAAAATTGCGAAAATGCTATTTGGTTAATTTAAAACAAGTATCATTCATTGTGCCAATGACAAATTTGTTAATAATATACAAGTTACAACGTTTTGAACTAAAAAATAAGGATCAAATACTTCGAAAGAAATAAACACAACTTACAGTTGTTGAGCATAGTTTGGAACATTTCAAGGTGTATATTATACACAGAATCTGTAATATACTATATACATCTCAACTATACTTTTACAAAAAACGCAAAATATTATAGATTCCCTACGTTTGAACTATATTATTCAAATGAAGGGTACCAATTGAAGACACATGCATTTCGCTTATCTTTTGGAATTCATCGATATCGACGTTGATCTCTATCATTTTTCTTTCTATACAGAAACTACAAAGCACGGATATTTCGTGATTAAGTTGTATTTTATATTCATCAAGTATTGGATAGGACACTAAGCACACAGGAGTCCAGTAAAATGGGACTTGGAGTGTGTGACTAAGCGATATTATGGTATTGGTTTAACCGAAACAAGTCGTGTGTTATCAACCGTATGATATAGCAATGGTATGGGAATTTCCGCTATTCTAGGATAGAAATACTATTACATCAAGTAGAGATGGTGCAATTATTAGGGTCTTATTCATATGTTTGGTCGACGTCCTGCTGCTTATGAAACAGACATAATGCAACAGCTAAATCTGCCTATTGCATGTCTTTCTTTATGCCTTAAATGTTTATTATCGTAACAACGTTAGCAATGACATCCGGGTCTGTCGTGTTATTGAAAGTTTCAACATATTACCTTTACATTATCTATATATAAACTATTTTATCGAGAACTGTCAGCTCTATCTGCTTTAAACAAACACGACTGAATTTGGTGACATAGGGATATTTCACTACCGTGTCCTACAGTATACAATGAAATTAACCAGAAGTATATCTCCTGTAAAATTTGGGTTTGAAAAATAACTTTTTCAAACTAATGGGCAAACGATTTAACCAGAGTTATGTTGATACTAATTCCGCTAGCGGCGTTTATAAATAAAATAATCGAGGTTATATTTTCTCTTGTACACAAAATATGTTCATAAAAAGCGAAAAAAGTTAGTAAATTTACCTCGATCACCCACGTGATATTGAGACATTGATAATTATTTGCGAGGATGTGTTCCAGTCGGAATAAAGATGAAAAAGACACAAATGTTGTAGGAATTGAAAGCGCATATTGCATGCATTTGCAATATCTGAAAACCATTGGTTATATTAAAGTTTCAGATTTACTCACTCTGCTCAATTATAAAAGTTTCGTTGTGGTATATAGGATAATCTAAAGTGGTTGATAGTTTGTTTCACGGGCAGTAGATGCCTTTGGCATGTCCCCAGATCCGTTCATTTGATTTGATACTTATATGTCTAAGTTTCATCTCGGCGTCCCAGGGTTTGCTTTGTGTGTTTCCAGCTAGTGTTTGATGGCTACTGTGCGTGTTGCGGTCCCCATCATTTAATACGAGTACGTGTTGATCTCAAAAGAGTCGGCTTTGTTTACTAAATTATTCGTCATGCTCATGTTTTCGAAAATTCGCCGTATCTGGCTGAGAGATTGGCCTCCGAGTTGTGAAAATCAGCACGGATTGAGAACACTGCGACAGTACGGTACGTTTGATCGAGTAAAATGGTATATGGTTGTTACACGTTTTAATAGGGAAAAGGTCAGAAAGCTAATACAGACGTTGGCGAGAAAAGAACCAAACCAAAGTTGTTGCATATCAGAGGTCTTTAAAGTATCGAACAGTAACAACAAGTCGGCCTTTAGAAATAGTGATGGAGACTTCAACAAGTTAACATGATAACGTGCTGTTAGGTTTCTGCCACATCAGTTTCACTATCTCCCCAGCTTTTTATCTTAGTTGACTTCTAATAGGATCGATGCGATTGACTGCCACAATAAGTCGCACAGAAAACACGATAATACTGACACTTCAATCACCAAGCTTTCTATTTCAGTTTAGCATCCCTGATTTTATAAATCACTGTAGCCTAATGTTGTTTCCATATTCAATTTGCGTTGATTCGGGTTTCATTTTATAAAAAGAGTAATAAATAATCACTCTTGATCGGGTTGGTAAGCGTATCGGGATTCGAATACTATAAGAGTTGAAATTGGTATGCTACAAGAGTTGGGATTGTGAGTCTTTCTGAAAAAATTAATATAGCAATTTCCCTTGTAGTGTTTGAGGGTTTTTTTTTTATTTGAGTCTAGTCTTTTTAAAATTTGGGAGCCGCGATAGCTAAGTGAGTAAGACGCTGGCTCGTTAACCCGGAGATTGCGTGTTCGATTCCGGTGTTGGCCGAGAAAGTACACATGGATTTTCCGGCTTGGTTCCCCCTTGTCAGCGGTGTAGGACGGGGGCCTGAAAGGGGGACAAGGTATAGTCGTTCGGATGGTACAAAAAAGGCGTATGTGTAAAAGAACCCTTGTTAAGAATTTATCAATATCCAGAAATCTAAATATTAGCACAAAATTAAACAGTTACCTACAAAAGATATTTCTACTAAAGTGGGTGGGGTTGAGAGAGAGAGAGAGAGAGAGAGAGAGAGAGGGTAACTTCCACTCGACACAAACTAGGTCATTTCGGGACTAACGCATGGGGGGAAACCGGAGGACCCATAGAAAACCCACGAGGTTAGACAGGCGACCCTACTCCGTGTCACGTACAACCGGCAATTCGAAACCACGTCAGTTAACTCAATGACAGACCGTATGATACAGTGCGCACGTGCTAACCATTCGGTCATCCAAACCGCCCCCACCCCCTTAACGCTTGAACTTTAGATTATCTACTATATAATCGTGCTTTTAATCAGTGCACCGTGGTTTTTCCCGGTTCTGCACTTTCTTCCCACTCAAGATACCTGCGCGCAAGCAAATCATAGAAATGTAAATATAAACCGTCTTAATCCCTAAAAAACCTGAGATGTATGGCCGTTAAATCCCATTTCTCTCTCTCGCCTACCTATTAGATTCATAATAGGTTAATTTCATATACATATTGTGTACATTTCACCTACATGTATTTACTTTAAACTTCTTTGGTTTAAGATATACATGTAGCGAGAATTTTTGATTAAGAATATTCTTTTAAAACTTGAAAGGGATCTCTATTTACTTTAGTTGTCTCAATTGCAACCTTAATCAATCTCAATCTCTTTTGATTTAGCAAGTTACCAAAGACTGAATTGCCACCCAGTGGAAGAAGTCAGGACTCTGTCTGTGCTGTTAACTTTTTATTCTTCTCCTCATTAACTATTGCTTCATCCTAATCAACTAACCGTGGAAATAAGTGATAGCTCGAGACATCAGCACGATAAATCTGTCTAAAGTTGAAACAAATGTTTATCAAATTCACGCTTTTTAAAAGCCCTAATCGTCTAGAGACCCCCGGATAATAAAAAAAACGATGGAAAAATCGAAACAAAGCTGCTATAAATAACCTAAAGTGCAGAACAATTACATGATGTGAAGCGATGTTGACAACATTCAATGGATTTTAAAAGATTTTAACGTCCTTTGGTGACTCTTTAGATTAATATTAAATGTATCGCAATGATTTATTACTTGAAACAACTCGGCCGATGATTCTGCTTGTGGCCATTTATCCGAGGTCCCCGTTTATTAAGAAGCTTCTGAAATTTAACATCATACTATGTTTCCACATATGTATATAGGAGTTGAGGATGTCACCTGGACAGGTAAAATTACACTTTCCAGAATATCTGAGATCACATTTCGAACACACAGAAAATCGACAATGACCTAGACCAAAGTCGGCACCCGTTTTAAAAGTGGCCCTAATTGGGAATTTGCTTTGATCGCATCAGATGTGTACGACTGGAGCTGCATAGCCAATATACAACCTTTAGAATATTATTAGTATTTCGTTTCGTTTTATCCTCATTCCTTTTTTAAGCTCTCGCTTTATCATACCAAGGTAAGGACAGTGCTTTTTGCGGAATGGTGGGTTCTACCGTCGAGATCTGGTCGAATTTATTTCCTTTGTCGATTTTGCACTACTGACAGAAGACGAATTGCTGTTACTATTCCACGTTGTTGATAAGGAAAATCGTCTTGTTTGACTAACTTGAGCTGACAGGTCACGCCAGTTGGTGACTCCTTTGGAAGATTTGATTTCTGCTCCCTCGGTCCAGTCTATGAAAAAAGGCAAAACCCGATCCAAATACTACAGTATCGTGAGCTAGTATTTCTACAGACCGGAATCGAGTCTAAGAAGAACAGGCCACCATAAATACACTTCCATTCAGCACCAAGTTTCTACTTTTAGACGTGAACTACTTGACAATGTTTTGTACCTAAAACGAGAAACAAACAGATTATTATATCATATTAGAATTTCCCTTGACAAAATGACACCACTTCATATCTAATAATAAGATTTTGCACAAAACCTTGCTCTGGGCAATTGGTTGCAAACTAGCTTGCTCGTTAATCATCAACACAACATCTGTAAGAAATTTCCACGCCAAGCCTTTGACAAAAAT